TTAGTCCTACTTCTAAATACAAGTGCTTATGCCCTTATATGGATTTATCTTGTGTTTACACTGCTTATCCTATTGTGTACCTAGAAGACACAGTATACCAGTTTGTATTCCTTCAAAGCCAGGCCCCCCCTAGGCATACCTGGCGATGAATACCATATTCGGGACTTCCCAAGTAAACTTCCATTATCCGATAATCATCCCCATATGTGCCGATCTGTTGGACTTATCATGGGTTTGTACTGCATTTAACTGGCTAGCATTCCTTGTACTTCCTCGGCATACCAGGGTTGCACAATACCCCAAATCTTCCAGGTCCCGGTATTGCCGATCCTTAGTATGCCAATGGGTTACAGGCATTTTTCCCTGATGCAGATGATAGTTACTGTAACACAGGATTAAATTCGAAAATCGTCATTTGTAGGATTCGAACTCTCAACCTGCTACTTGGCGGGGTGACAACTAGACCACTTCACTAAGTCGCCACACCCAAATATTTATTAATTCAAATAACATATTAGTATTATTTTGTGATTCATATCAACTTGTGCTGACATAAATTAAAAAATAATGTAAAATATCTGTTTAAACTAAATAACACGTTAATATTTTATAGATTTCTGATTTTCATAAATGATAAAAATAAAACTAAACAAAGAAAGATGAATGATGAAACTCGCAAAACGTCGAAACCCTAATGAAATGTTAAAATTCTGGTGAAAAGATGAAATCTTAGCAAAACTCTAATAAAGGTATACAAGCCTATTTCACAAAAAGTGTCTGTTCTGTGTAGGGTTGGAAATATAGCAAAATATTTAGACATGTTTTTAGTAGCATGCCTCAGGCTTAACCATGTCTCTCTTATTATGCTCAGGGTATGCTTTTGTATATATAATCATATGCTATATTAAATAAATTCTATAAAGGTTTAATTGTTATTAAACTTAAATAAATATGCAATGCTATTATTATTATTTTTTTTTCTGGCGAAGTTTGGCCATAGTAACTTTAATTTATTTATGATATCAATATGCTTGAAATAAGTATTTTTAACAGTTAATAATTTTATACTCGGCATGAATCACATGCAAAACCTTTTAAATAAAAGGAAAACCAGACTTTAGACTGTAAAAATTTTCTTGTAAACTTTTTAACCCCTTAAAACGAAATATTTCTTATGTAAATTTTCTTATAAAAAGAATATTTTCTATCACACATTTATCCAACGAAGTCCTCATAGAAATATTTGAATACCTAAAGAATGACTACAAAACCTTATTTTCATTCCTTCTCGTAAACCGTAATTGGTGAAGATTAATCATACTGATTTTATAGAGAAATCCTTCTTTTTTTAATAGAAGAGTCATCGAAATTTGTCTTTCAGAACTAAATAACGATGAACAAGCACTGTTAATACCACTATGCATTAACATGTCACCTCAGAAAAAGCCTATTTTCTCATATACACAATATGTCAAGGTTATTAATACCAAGCAAAATTGGGTACAATTAAATATCAATTCCAAGAAAAATTAAAAATTAATTATTTATATGATTCCAATCACAGAATTAGGGTTTAATTTTGACAAATTTTAAATATAAATTTGGCAGAATTAAATTACAAGAATTATTCAAAGATTTACAAGTTACCTCAGCAAAGGATACTGTATATTCAATTCTAAGAAAGAAAGAATCAAGAAATAGACTCCCAATATTATATATCCAAAATATCTTAATCCGGTGTGTTCATGTGACTAACAGCCAATGATAAAAAATACAAAAATAAAAAAATGAGTGTTTTAAATCTTGAAAGACTAATAAAAAATGTCAGGATTATCCACAAAATCAAAATTCAGACAGTTTACACCCCTGATAGTGATTAACAAATCAAAATTAGTTTTCAAATCTGCCTTCACAAATCTTTCGGAATCTTCTTCTTGGGTATTAACTTTGACTTAATATTGCAACCTGAATATTTTTGTTTAAGCAACTACGAAATTATTTTTATCATATTTGTATAATTATAAGTAAAATTTCCATGATATAAATGATTAACTACATATTCAAAATTGTTATTATTTTTATTATTTTTGAATAAAAAGTAATTTTCAAAAGTGAGTTGGTCTTTAATTCACATCATTCTTGACAAGAATTGGATATATTCCTATTAAAACCATTCAATGTAGTTTAATTCTGAAAACTGAACAAGGATAGTGAAGCCAATGAAATTCAAAAATGTCAACTAAATAAAAAAAATGCAGATAAACCAAAAAATTATTTAATGAAAATCTAATAATTAATTCGGAAATTGATTAATTTCAGAAATTGAAATAAATTATAGTTAAACATCAGTGTACATTTTACATTTCAAATGCTAACATTTTTTTCAATCTACAATAAATTCTACAGAGCTTATAATAAACAAGTATAAGTGGGTTTTAGAGGGTTAAATAGAAGCTCTCATTTCATTTTAATCTGATTTCATTATGATCCGCGACAATAATTATGTGGAACGAAGATTTAGAATTATAAAAGACACCGTTTTTGCGAGAACCCAAGCCTACAATGCTGTCCAAATATTCCAGCTTATTGTAACAAATATAGAGCATTTTATGAACGATGACTATTTGGTATCGTTAATCAGCATCCGGGTTATATGCAAATATCAAAACGATTTCTTCGTCCAGGCTGGACAATGGTAAACCAGAAAGAAATCAAATATGACATAATTAATAATGTATACACTGTACCAAGTATAATGACTACTGGAAAATTTTATACTGTAGATCTATCCATTGGGACTTGTACATGCTTTGCTACGTTTGGAGGATTATCTTGTAAACATCAAGCCACTGTTGCGGTTAAGTATCATGAAGAGATATTTAATTTTATTCCTGCTCTTTCTATTGACGATTGCATAACCTATCTATATATTGCTGGTGGTAAGTGAATTTAAATACATTATATATTCTATTTATATAAGAGAAATTTACATCCTTAACAACCCAATTTTTAAAAGTGACCATTGCGAACAATTCTACATTTTATACATCTTTACATGCATCTCTTGTGTCAGAAAATAATCAAATGACTAAAAAATCTGTTCAAGATACTGAAAACCATATTATCTCTAAGTTTAAATGAAGATACACCTACTGCATATAATTGCAATATTCTTACATAGTAATTTGCAAATAAAAATTGAAATATTATTTAAATTTTTCATTTACTAAATTTTTTTATTTTTTTTTATTTTTAATATATAAAGTGATTCCACTAATGTCAAAGATATTATGCATATATTGAAGCAATTGGATTTTTTTTCATTGTATTTTAGATGGTATAAAGAACAATAGTCAACTGTTTGCGGGTCTTGAACATTTTAAAAAGGGATATGAAAAAGCTGAATCTCTGTCAGGTTGGAGGTTGGCGTCCTATCTTTATCAACAAAATTCTACCACACAAGCTGAATCAATACGAAGTGGGCAAAGATTCGGGTGCAGCCAGCATCGATCCAATGAAGAAAACGTAAAATATTTAAAGAAAATACTGATCCTACTGTAATAGGTGTCTACAAAAAGAGAAAACTTTAAAAAAGCGCATAATTTATCGAATAACATTGCCGAAAATAAAAAAAATCAAATGTAAACTTCTAAGTTGTAACTATATAATTGAAAATGCAAATTTATTATATTTTTATAAGTTACAATAAAAAAACATTGGATGTAAACTTCTAAATTTTAATTAATTACAAATATAAATTTATTATATTTTAATAAGTTTCAATAAATTTATTTTATTCCGAAGTGGTTTCCAGGCTATCACATGATCTTCCGGAAAACACATTTACGTTATGCGTTGTTTATACATATAAAAAATATTCAAAAAAGTATGGCTTTTATATTATTTATAAATCGTACAAAAACTACATATTTTTTTGTATAAAAACTGTATCTTTTTATATAGTTGTTATACCAATAATTGTACAAAGGCCCTTTCAAAAAATTTTTAAACACTGCTGAGCAAATTCACAACAAACTCAATACAAAAACTGAACAAATTTTTCTTATAGAGCTACCTCATAACTCTAAAAAACGTGAATTTTTTTTTTATCAAAAAAAAAAAATTATCCCAATTTTTAGCATCTAAAAATGCCAAAAGGAAATTTTAATATACAACGAGCAATATATACACAAAAAAATACAGGCAATGGAATCTTCATGAAAAATTGATGGTTGTATTTTACTAAGAAAGTGGGCATAGTATTCGTGCAATAACAAATATATTCGGGATCGAACCAAAACAGGTTCGTGACTGGAAAAATAAAAAAGAGAAGTTAATGCGTGCAGCTCCATATATTCGACGAATTAATATTGGTGCATGACCAAAGTATCCACAACCTGGGGAAGAACTTTTGAAGTGGTTTCGTGGGTTATGAAGGCAACTAAAAACAGTAACTAGATAAATAATTGGTGCTAAAGCCCGTAGTTTAGCTAGCAAGCAAGAATATCGTGCCTTGTATCCTGATATTCATTAATGTCAATTTTCATATACTGTAAGTGGGTAGATGGGTTTATGTCTTGTCATTCATTAGTACACTGTAGACGTACTACAAGGTACGAAAGTTACCAGAGGATTATAGTGAATTACAACAAAACTTTTTATTATTTATTCTTTATTGACGAACTAAACATAACTACTCGCTAAATTTAATTAGTAATATGGACGAAACTCCTATAGCATTTAGCCTGCCAAGTCAAACAACTGTTGAAGAACGTGAAACACAAACCATCTCAGTTCTTACAACAGTCTATAAACGTACAAACTTTACAGTAACTCTTGCTTGTCTCGCAGATAGTACTAAACTCCACCTTTAATTATTTTTAAGTTAGTTAATATGCCACAATAGCAATATGTGGCGTCAGCAGGTCTGCTTGGGTTCAAACCCACGTTTGCTTCTTGTATTAGATGTATTTATTGCACATAGAACTGATCTAGTAAAGTGTCGTCTCAGTGAACGAAATGCAGACATGGCTGTAATTCCATCTGGACTAACCTCACGTTAGATATGTCTTTAAATAAAGCATTTAAAGCAAAAGTTAGTATTATATTTAAGATCAAATTTCTGGTCACGTTATGGGTGTGTTCGCACTAAAACCTGTAAGTACCCTAAAATAATTATTATGCTATATAGCATAATAATCATTTTAGGATACTTATAGGTTTTAGTACGAATGCCCCATATATAACCTGTGCGATTTTCTACACAGTGATTTTTTTTTAAATACAGATCCAACAAAAAATTTTAAATTTCTGAAATTTGCTTGACCAAAAATTAATCTTTGTATAAGTGCATGCAAAAATTGCAACGTTGTTATAAAAATTTTTATTAATCCTTTATTTTATTTTATTTTATTTTGTATAACAGGTTTGCCATTTTTATAATAAATGGATAGATGAATCCATAAAGAAATACACACCAACTGGTAAAATTAAACGAACATTATACTCACTCGTGGCAACTAATGATGCAGACATTTAAAATCTTGAAGGTAACTACCCCGGCAAAAAAATTACGGCGATATGGCACATTTGCCGTATAAGTAGAAGTGCCGCATGCCGTATAAATGCCGTAAGTAGTATAAATGCCGTAAGTAGTATAAATGCCATATGCCGTATAATAACCACGTTAGGAGGACTTTCTTATAATTGGTCAATTTTAATTTGGTTTTAAAAAAATGTAACTGTCATTTATAATACTACAGAAGACTCTTCGCAAACGGAGCTTTAAGTAACGGTAAGAAAAGCTTTTAAAATTTCACGAATTTTAGCGTTAGTGAAAAATGAAAATTTTAACCTATACATGAAGTTTAACCAAGTTTAACTGT